CATGAATTTGTTGTTTGTTAATATTTTTCATTTTATTTGATAAATTAGCAGTTTTAATTTTTTCGTAAATATCATTTTCAGAAACTATTATTGTAATTAATAAAATCTAAATTTAAACTAATAGCAATATCAATACCGATATCGATAATGATATAAAAAGCATCAATAAATGAAAAATTATCTTTGATCTATAATTATATCATCATGAAACTTTTTTTCTTACAATTAAATGATATAATTAAAGTTGTAAATAATAAGCCTATTTGTGTGTTTGATAAATTGATAGAATTTGTTAATCGATGAGTTTATCAAATAAATTATTACCTAATTGATGATAACATTTCATTTCATTTATTTACCTTAGAAGGAACACTTTTATCATTTATCAAACAGATTATTTCCTAGTTAATGATATCATTCTATTTCATTTATTTACCTTATAAGGAATAAGCCTATTTATGTATTTGATAATTTGATAAAATTTTTTAATTAATCAATTTATCAAATAGATTATTTCCTAATTAATAATATCATTCCATTCAATTTATCTATCTTGTATGGAACAATTTCATCATTTATCAAACAGATTATTTTCTAGTTCATGATATATATTTTAATCCATTTATTTACCCTATAAGGAAAAATTTCATTATTTATTAAAGAGATTATTTTCTAGTTGATAATATCATTCCATTCCATTTATTTACCTTATAAAGAAAAATTTCATCATTATCAAATAGATGATATCATTCCATTCCATTTATTTACCTTATAAGGAACAAGTTCATCATATCCCCGAACACTACCAATACCACAATTTGCCATTGCTAACATTGCTGCCGTTGGAACATAATCATAAACGGAACGTTTCTAAAATTATTTTTTCAATCATAAAAGATATAGAAAACTATCACTGAATTACTAGTAACACTATTGAAAAATTTCAAATCAATTATCATATTTCAGGTAAATAAATAATAAAAATAATTAGATCATTTCAAGTAAAAAATTTGATTTAAAATTAAAAATAATTAAATAATTAAATTTCATAATAATTAATAGAATAATTAAATTAATAATAAAATTAAAAATAATTAAATGTAATTAAAAGGAATTTCCAAAATATTATTATTTGTATATAAAACAAGAAGAGTACAATTGAATTTCAAATTATTTTACTCTAACATCATAAAAAATCAAATTATACAATATCAATAAGATTTATTGATCGTTGAATTAATTAATGCAATATTAATTAAGGGAAAAAGTTGATACTTCAAGAGCTGTAGGATTATCATGTGTTTGATCGAAGAATAAAGCTGGCGCTACACAAGATGTTGCATCTTGAATTGTTTTTTGAATAAATCCACCTAATACATCACCACCAAATCGATAAATTAAACGACCTTGTTCAAAGCTTATTGGAGCATTTTGAGCTTCTGAAATTTTAAATTTCCAAATATATAAAATTATTGTTTTAAAAATTTAAAATAATTAAAATAGAAATTGGTAAATTATTAATAATTACCTCGTATTAAAGAAGTTATTCCAAGTCGATTTACAAAAATATTATCCAAATCTTCACTTTGTGTAAAAAGTTCTGCTGTTACATAGATATTTGGTCGTATTTCACGAGCAGCTTTTAAAAGATACTAAAAAAATCAATTACAGTAATATTTCTTTTGAAAGGTACTATAAACTACAGTGAAAATTACGGTAAAATTACAGTAATATCATACATTTAGTAACAATGATACCTTATAAATTAAATTTTATAGCTTGAAAAAAATTGTTTAAAATAAGCATATACCTCAGCAACATGCATTGGTGTACTGTGACAATTATCAATACGTAAAGCGTGAAATATTTTTGCACAGAGCTGACTTCAATAAAGAATGTTTAATTAAGACAATTCATTAATTTGAAATTATTTAATCTAATTCAATCAAGCATATCAATAATGTCCCTATTTGCCATATTTTATTCGATGTATTAGTCCTAAATTTTGATAAGAATAAAACTTTGTTCCAAATTTTTAATTTTTAATTAATTTTACTAAACATAACAATTATTGAGATGTGATGATACGGAATTGTTATATGATAATATTAACGCTATTGCACTAACTGTTTAATTCTAGGTTGTGACTAGAATTAATTTCAGGACAATCATGTAAACATGATTTTTACTAATAAAAAACTGAAAGATGTTTGTTACTTGAAAAATAATAAAAATAATAAACAGGAAATTCGAACAGGAAATTTACGTGTATCTCTTCATTAGATCCCATAAATACGGGCAATCTTCCGGTTTTTCACCATAATTCAATTTAATACAATCTCCCCAACATACCAAATGTCTCATCAAGTAGACCTATAATAGAAATTAGTATATTTCAAGATCGAAAAATAATTTTTAAAAGAATAACAATGCAACATTTTATTAGTCAACTTATTAGGAATTAAAAATTTTTTAGTACCAATTCATTATTTCAGTTTATTAACTTATAGTATTGATAAAATACGATGGATATAAATTATCAGCAAAAGTGAAATATTTTTAAGATATAATTTTAACAATATTACGATTATTACATTTTCATATAGTTAAATTTTTGCAACTTGATGATATTAAGATGATATTAATAATGATTTAATGCTATTATCAATATTATGAGTTATCCGATAAAATGCTTAAGTGTATCGCGAGCTAGCTATTAGCAATATCCTTCAGAATAAAGTATGCATATCATAACATCAAAGCAGAAGGTAACATAGGTCTTCCTCAACATGGCAAACAATGTAAACTATCAAAATTCCATTTAAATTATCAATGCAAATATTCCATAATAAAATGAATTTGAATTAAGTAATTGTTTATTACACCTGTGGTTCTATAAATGTTTGCAAACCTTATAAAATGATAATTGAATTAAATAATTTTTATTATACCTGTGATGGATAATGTGCAAAATTTAGTAATGGATTATCATTCATCACCCATCCATTACATGCCATTATTTTTTCCGCTTTCTCATCATCGTATGCAAATTTTTCCTCATCTTTCCATGTGGTCAGTGATGGAAATGGTTGCACAAAGTATCTGAAAAGAAAATTGAAAACATTTCAGTGCAACAAGAAGACAAAGATATGATATCAATTAAATTATATCTTTATTGTAATTAACTTAATCATTTATTTGATGATTCGAAAAATCCAAGTGATAATACAATCTTAAATTTTAATTGCAAAAATTGAACGGCCAAGTAAATCAAGAGATTAAATTTTTTGCTCAATATTTAAAAATAATTTTATTTTGCTGAATTTTATAATCAATTTTAATTTGCTAAAATTGTTCGATTATTTTTATATATGATAATGATATTAAGACATATGTGATAATGATCAAAAGAATAAATTAACACTATCATCATTTAAAATTAGCATTATCATTATCTTTCCCATCTAATTCTAACTGATAATTATACTCTTTTTTTTTCAGTTCGATTAATAAACATCTTACATTCAGCTAAAAGAAATGAATGAAGAAAATGAAGAAAATCTGAAATGTGTATAAATTTAAACTGAATTGACTGATACGATAGAATGAGCGATATTTACTTACTGTACGACAAGGCCGCAATCTTCGGTTAATTCACTTCGTCGCGGTCCTGAATGATCAATTCGTTCATAGCTAATATGTCCGGCACATGCTTGCAATATATTTTCATAAATTCCTGCACTTGTTTCTAATGCTCTTTGATTCAGGAATTGAAGATGTCCTCGGAATGCTTCCAAACATTTCCGTTGTCGATCTTCCTCATCTCCCGCATCACTTCTTCAATAAAAAAAGTAAAAAATTTTTTTAATTTAAGCTAACTTGAACTTTTGAACTTTGTTAATACTAATATAGATTTATTTATAATTATTGCTTATTGTTTTCGAATAACTAAGAACTAAATTAGAATTCAATACCGTTTTCTATTAAAAATTTTATTCGCATGATTCATATCAACAATGAAACCAAAACGATTCCAATATGGTCCTGGCTTTGATTCCAACATTTCGTCTCGTACTTCAGATGATGGTCCTTCTAAATATTATTGTGATTAATGAAAACTTCAAAAAGAAAAAGATGAATTACAGGAAGATTTATATTGTAAATAATTAAATTATATGGCTATTACTTCTGACATTATCTTTGGATAATACATAAGTGAGATGGACTAATCAGAAATATTCATAGCATTGGTTTGAATTTCTGATAAATGCTCATTATGCTGAATTACTGTTACAATTTTCTCCTTCAAGCATATATCTATCACATATCATATCTACATAACTATTAATTGAAATAATCCATCATTTACGCTTTCTTCTTCAAACACATATCTATCACATATCATATCTACATATCTACTAATTTAAATAATTCATAATTTTGAAAATTAATACCTTTCACATATTTTTCAAAATCTCCTACCAATTTTTCAACATTAACTTGGAAGAATTCATGAATTCGCAATTCCGGTAAAATTTCATTGCGCAAAATATCAAGAATAGTCTTAAAAGAATAAATGAAATCGACCGAAATAAAACAAAAATAATATTAGGATAGAATTTGAAACAAAAATGAATTAAATGATTTATATGATGAATTTTCGATGATGGAAAATATCATATGAATTCATTTCCTTACAATACATCAATAATAAATATGCATAGAATATGATTATATTATATTTATTGTTGTATCTAAAAAATATATCAGAGTTTGTATTATATAAATTTGTAACATAACCTATATTATTTATATAAATACTAAATTTTCTATATATTGTAGAAATTAATAACGCCAATAATTAATAATACTAAGTGGCAATTAATATTAACAAAATTAATAATCTAACAATTAGTAATACTAACTGAATTAATAATAATAAAATTAATAATCTAACAATTGATAATTAATAATAATAAAATTAATAATACTAACATACTCTTAAATGTTCATCAGTATTAATTTCCTTGTTAAGATTTCGATTCTTATATTTTCCATTCATAATATCGATACCAAAATGATATAAGAGACGATCAAGAATATACGCTGGTCGCAAATGTGGACTATTTTTTAAATTATAAGCGCATTGTGGGTGTTCCTAAATAATAATTATAAAATTATTATTAATAGATAATTAATTTATGAATCCTAAAATTATTAATCGATAATTTATGGACTTTTCTTTACAGTAATATAAATTAAATTAGTAATTTAAAATAATGAATATTTTAAAACAATTAATAAGTTGTCATCTATTCATAGAATTCATGATTTATTATTTCTTGTTTTTTTGCGTAATACAAGTTAAATTAAATTAAATTAAATAGCTTGTATTCCCATTAGTAATGAGTTTAATTAATTAAATGATAGTAAGTGAATTTAATTTATTACTTAATAGCAATTTAATAATAAATATGTTAATAATATAACTTACTAAAAGCCATAAAGCATTTCGAGCTGCATGATTCCATACGACATCTTGCATAGATAGTAAATGATAATCATTTTCAAGAGTTTGTATCAATATTGCAAGATCATCATATGTATAATGCTTTTCCTTTTCAAAATAAATTATTTAAAGATAATTACAATTATTCAAAAATTACGTCTGCTAATTAGGAAAAAATTAAAGTACAAACTAATTAAGCTAATTGAAAAAGTTATTATCAATGAGAAAACAAAATGGTAATAGCTTTTTATAAATTAAATTATTATTGAAAAATTCTTCTCAAATCAAAACTTACGGTGGTACTGAAGTTTGGATTCAATTTCATTGGATCAGCAATGCAGTAGCTAAACAGACAAATTGAAATTAAGGTACTACTGATAATAAATTACTATTTTTAAATTAAAAAAATTTTTTTTTGAAATAATTAATAATTAGAATAATTAGAAATTCAAGATTTAAATATGTTAAAGTCAAAACAAAAGTTTAAAATACGTTAAAATAAAAAATATTAATTAATCAATATTATTTTTTAATTATGATGATATATGATATACCTGCTGTTTGAAATTCCAAGTTCTTGAACAGGTGTGAAATGAATCATATTATATTCAGCTTTTGATGCTACTTTCAATCTTTCTTCCCACATATTCAATGAACCAAGAAGTTTTGAGATATGCGTAATACACGTTATAGCATTCAAACGTAACGGTTGTTCATTTAGAGATAAAACCGGCATTACAAGAATATATCCATTGCCAGCTGGTTTACTGAAATGAATCATTTAAACATCTTCACAGAGTAAATCGTTTTGTTTTTGCTTAAATTGATTAATTATATAAATTTTAATTTGAATACAAATTAATTTAAATTAAATATATATTGTACCTTTCATTATCAACTATAAAGTGATACGAGAAAGCACCAGATTCTTCGCACTTAATTTCAGCAAATGTTGCAAATTCATCAGCTCCCTCTTTCCAGGATATTTTACCCGATATTGATGTAAATACATCAATATTTCGTCCCAAAAGATTTGTACCACGAACGAATCGAACAGTCCAGCCTTTAATATATTATTAAAAATTATATAAAACATTTATAAATTGAAAACTAAATTTAAAATTAGAATTTTAAAAAGCAAAAATTAATCACAAAAATTCCTATCGATGCTATTTTGAAGTCAGCCTATAAATAAATAGCTAATATATTATTAAAAATTATAAAACATTTATAAATTAAAAACTAAATTTAAAATTAGGATTTAAAAAAAGCAAAAATTCCTATCGATGATATTTTGAACCTTCAATATTAATGCCAACTGTTGAAAAAATATTCCTTCTAATTCATCTACTCTTAATTAGATATTCTATTGTAATCGATCAGTATGATTTCATAAATTGTAATTTCAATTTAAATTTTACTCATTTGATAAAATCTTTTTTAATAGCAAATACAATTGATTTATATTTGATAATTTATATTTCGAAAATATCAAACCTTTTTGGAAGCGAAATACCGAGCTTTCCAGATTCTCACCATAATTTAGAGTAATGATACGCGTTTCCGGTTTCTGATTTTCTTCGTTATCATTAGTCTTCAGGCAATTAATAGCTTCAGTTAGACACATATTGAATATTTAGAATATATAAGTGAAAAAAAAAAGCTAAAATAAACAACCTGAAATATACATATTAATATATATATATATATATTTCAGGTTATGAAATATACATTAATTAGATATTGATGGTAGCGTGGGAAAATAATTTATTAAATTAATTTTTTAAATATTCACTTTATATAAATAAATAATAATTAATAATGAAATTTTAGTAACACTAAAAAAAAATAAAACATTACTAAATCAATCAATAATTTGTCCTTTATAATTTTCAATTTTATTTTTGAAAGAAAATGAAAAGCGCTATATAAACATTGTAATTAAATCAATAACAAAACCGAAACCGGAAAATTAATCATTTGTTAACAAGAAAACGGAAAAACAAAGAAAAATTTAATGAGTAGAGAAAAAACGATTAGAATGAAAGAAAAACAGGATAGTTTAGTTCGTTCAATAAATCATTGCTGGAAGCAAAACAAAATTCAACATCAACATGTGATACACATTGATGATTTTCGTACTAAACTAATCGATTTCATTAAATGCTTCCAATCCCCGCTCTTTTTCTTCTCCCGCTTTATCGCATAGAAATATATGAGAGTTAGAAATGAGAGAAAGCGATCGGTGATAATTTAAATTTGACGTCATTATTTTAAAAATATTTTCATCAATAATTTAAATAATATGTTTGAAAAAAATTTTATTACTTTAACGTTTACATATTTTGTATGGAATCGAGAAATAGTGTAGAAATTTGGTTGTTTGATTTTTTACCTTTCAAATTAGTAATTAATACATTTGGTAATAAACATATCAAATACGAGTGAATGGCCACGTGAATGACCACGTGAATGACCACGTAAATGACCACAATTGTAAATGATGTGTAAGAAATTAAACAATTAGAAAAGAAGCGAAAGATATTTATCAATAAAAGATTTTGTTTATAATTTATATTAATATTTTGAATTAATGATAAATATATTAGGATGAAAATATTTTCTTAGAATTAATAATGAAAAAATATAATCTAACCTATTTTTCATCATATATTTTAACTTATTAGCTTATTGTATTTTTTTTTTGATATGATAACTTTCACGTAACACGTTAATTAGTCACATAACACGTGATGATTTAAAATTATTTACTAAATTTTCTTACCATTGAAATATGTTCATCGTATTGTATTGTATCGGGAAGTTCATTATCTTGCATACTGCCCGATTTTGATTCGATTGTTTGTTTGATCGCTTTTGTTTCCTTAATATATTATTTCATTCATTAAAAAAATGAAATTAAAAAAAATTAAATACTTAAAATTAAGAATTAAAAAATCAAAATTAAAAATTTAAAAAATAAAAATTAATTAATTAAAAAATGAATTTAAAAATTAAAAATTCAAGACTAAAAATTTAAAAATTTAAAATTATAGATGAAAATAAAAATTTTATAACTTTTATATATTTTACTAAATATTTTAACAATATCGTAAAGACCATAAATTTTGCCCAACATTATAAGATATAATTAATACGAAATGCAATTAAAAATGAAACAAAAGAATTCGTAAATTCATATTGTCTTAATTTAATAAGAAAATGAAAAAAAAAATTAATAATTAATTATTAGTTTTCAAATTTTTAATCCTTTAAAATATTCTACGAGTATTCTTTCAAGTGAGAATGCAAATCTTAGCATTTATTTTTTAAAAGATAACGTTTAACAACAGTGACACCTGTTTAACTGATTCTTCTATTAAGCTATTAATATTATCGGAAGGAAATGAGATAAATAAACTTAGCTAAGATATTTTTTCGAAAGAAAAAAATGAGATGAAAAAACTTTGTTTTAAAATTTTACATATTTCATACGTTGAGCTTCAGTTTTACACATTCCGTATCTGTTCCTCACAAGTCTACCTTCAGTTTTACACATTCCATATCTGTTCCTCACAAGTCTACCTTCAGTTTTACACATTCCATATCTGTTCCTCACAAGTCTACCTTCAGTTTTACACATTCCATATCTGTTCCTCACAAGTCTACCTTCAGTTTTACACATTCCATATCTGTTCCTCACAAGTCTACCTTCAGTTTTACACATTCCATATCTGTTCCTCACAAGTCTACCTTCAGTTTTACACATTCCATATCTGTTCTTCACAAGTCTACCTTCTGTTTTACACATTCCGTTTCTGCTCTATCGCAAACTTTTCCGATTTTTATTAATTCTTTTTCCAAAACTAATTTGTCAACATTGTCAAGAAATAGTTAAATTTATTAAATTTACAGAAGCGGAATTTAAATTAGTGTTATTTTATTTAAGTATATGTATTCACCAAATAATATTCACAAATTTACAATTAGTAATATTTTAATTAATTTTAATCATTTCATATATTTCATTTAAAATAATTTATGTACTTAATTTTCTAACTATTACATTTGTTTGGATTAACTTTGCACCAATGAAATTCTCACTTCTAAATATGTGAAATTAAAAAGGGTATGTTCAAATATCCGGTGCTTCTCAAACAAATAGACAGATGAAAAAACAAAAAGAGAGAGAAAGAGAGATGGAAAAAAGGAAAAGAAAAGAAAAAAATTGAAATTTAAACAGAAAATTTAAAACGTATGAGAACAAAAAACAAAGATTGAAAAGGAACAGAGAAGCAAACAGAACTGTAAACTATTCCTCAAACTTTTTTATCATATCATATAAAATAAACTAAAGCTAAAAAAATTTTTGCATTATTTTTCATTCTAAAAATTAAACATTTCAAAAATAGAATAAATAAAAGAAAGTTTAATTTTACCGCAATTCTTTTGATATTTAAAATTTTAAATGGCATTTGAATCAATAGGACGCAACGATATTAATTATTTCCACCGATTATCACTAATGATACTGATTATTTCCACCGATTATCACTAATGATACTGATTATTTCCACCGATTATCACTATTATTACCAATTATATTCCATTCGTTAATTCCTATAATAAAAGGAAAAATTAATCATTTCATCATTGATTTAATTTTTTTAATTAATAGTACTCAATGAAATTTAAATTAGGAAAATTTTTCCGGATAAGCTTTATTCCGCTTTTTCATCATTCCAAATATATTATAATCTATTCCCGAAAAGAAAATCTATTCCCGATTTCATTTAAAAAGCGATCACTTTAAATATTATCCCTCCTAAATGACCAGTATCCATTTTACGACGAATTTTCTAACTACTAAATGACAAATGTTATTTCCATTAAAGAAGAAAAAGTGACCGAATGAATTAACAAGAAGTTATCAAATGAATTAACAACATACAATAAGCTTCCTTCCTTCCTTCATTTAGTTTGATTTGAAATTAAACGATCGCATTGATGAGTAAGTAAGTAATTTGAAGCGATTTAAAAAATCTGTGAAGCAGCGAGTTTAACAAATTTTTTAACGTTAGAGGATTTTTGTTTAACAATGATTTATCGATGATCAATGATCATTTTATTGAAATGTCTTTTTCCCTACACATTTCTATCTTTTTGAAATAATTGTAATTCCTTTCAAAATTTTTCCATATTATTTACATACAGAAATGAGGGAATGAATGAATGGACCTATCGAAATGACCGATAGAAATGGACATACATGACCTATCTAAAATCTTATGTATTTCTACCTTTTTTAAATAATTATAAGTAATTCTTTTTAAATTTTTGTATATTATTTACATACAGAAATAAGAGAATGAATGAATGACCTGTCGAAATGACCGATAGAAATAGACATACATGACCTCTCTAAAATCTTATGTACTTCTATCTCTTTAAATAATTATAAATAATTCTATTTTTAAATTTTTGCATATTATTTACATACAGAAATAAGAGAATGAGTGAATGACTTATCGAAATGACCAATAGAAATGGACATACATGACCTATTTAAAATCTTATTGAAATATGATAAAATTTGCATGAAAGTAATATGATATGATTGATTTGAAACTTTTCAATGTTTGCACATTTTTATTATTCAAAGTATTCACTTACTACTTAAGAATTCGATTAAAATATAAGTCTGTGTTAAATCAAAATTGAAAAATTTAATTTAATACAACCGTATAATTCATTTCTACAATATATTTCAAATCATACAATTCATTAATTCATTATATTTATATGACATAATTTTACAATTTAGTTGCTACAACCCTGAAATTAAAATTCATAAAGGAAGAAAGTAATTAATTATTGATGAATACTTATTATAATGATTAATGATTACATCAGTTAATGATTAATGGCAATACAAATTATAGCAATATTAATGATTACATAAGTTAATGATTATAGCAATACAAATTCAGGAATTTCTGCTATACTTATACTGCGGAACTTAAATACATAATAAACAACTACAGCGATTGAATTTACATATAATGATTAATGATTGCATAAATTAATGATTATAATAATGATTAATTAATTATGAAAATCTTTGTAGTTTTTCTTTTCACTGAGAATTTATTGAGTTTTACTAAGATAATTTACATCCTTTTATGATTGGTATAAACTTTTTGGCATTTATATATTTCCATTGTTCAAAGTATTTACAATCTTACTATTTAAGAATTCGATCAAAATTAATAATCGATATGGATTAGGAAATAATTCCAAAATAGCAATCGATTCGAAATCTATTACAAACAAGAGATTCGATTAGTTTACATAATTTTATTCGCTATCAGATTGCTTATCAGTTAAGTTTAAAGTTCCGTATTACGTTTTTCTTTCAGTGAATAACAATAAATTCTTTTTCTCGATTTAGCTTGGATTGAAATTTTCATATTTTATCATATATCAGTAATTATTAGAATTTTTGTTATTCCATTGTCTATCTTACTCAAGTTTTACTTGAGTAAGATAGATAATTAATGCATTATGATATAAAGTAATAAAACTAATTATTATATCTAAGTTAGTATGAGAAAATTTCTGCTATTC